GTACATAAGTATACTTTTGCATCTACTATGAACTTATCATCATAATTCTCCGTAAAGCAATACGACACTATGAAGGAGTTGTAACAGTGCGTTTATAAGTATGCTCATTCCGACTAGAGGATGTAGAGGGCAAATGCATCATATTGTGTTCAGCAAAGAATATCCACTTGATGCATCAGGTCAGTGTTTAGAGAAAGGACACCTGCCTTGTAAACTCCTATGGGCCTGAATTGAACACAATAGGCAAAGATTTTGCTCAAGCTGAATCTGCAATTGGGCGACTGCTACCATCATAACTCCATCTGATCATCCACAAAATGACTCAAATATCAAAACATGATCAATACTAAAGCAGCACCGAAAGTAACAACCCAGTCATTACTGGAAACTGAAAAATGTCCTGTTCATCTTCAAAAGACAATTCTAATACAATGTAGCTTCTTTACATTCTATGCAAAGAAGCTACATTCTATTAGAATGTAAAGAAGCTACATTGTATTACAATGTAACTTCTTTACATTCTAATAGAATGTAATTCTATTAGAATACATTCTAATAGAATGTAAAGAAGCTAGTGTATAGAATGATTCTATTGAAGTTATTCCTTTTTTAAATGTTTTAGACGAGTCTCTAATCACTTTAAAAGAGTGATTATAGCTGATTTAACTTACAGACATGAGATTGATCTTCTCATGTCACTCTCTTTATACAATGACATAAATTCATCCCCGTTTTATTGATATCTTACGAAAAGTTACTCCTCACTTTTCGTGCGTTTTTCCTGCAAAAGTCCAGCAACATGAGTCTGTTTTCACTTGTTACATGCATACTGTCTTTTCAAAATAAACTTCCATCTTCACAGGAAACAACTAAGGTTTAGGCGATGAAACTACTTAGTTAGGTTGAGGAAAAGATCGTGGTTTGCGTTAAAATATCTACGGAAGTGGCGTTGCTTAAGTACGGAAGTCACGTCACAAATAAATCAACATTGGCTTCTCGTTTCACACACGGCACAAACTGCGGCCTCCTGGAGGAAACACCAGTGTTTGTTTGACCCATCCACCTCTCCTCATCCCACCCGTCCTGTGGGGAATTCTGCTCGTGTAGTCGCTCGCTAGCTATAGCATATAGCATCCTGGGAATCTAAACACCGCGGCTTTGAGAGCACTTGTTTTGCGCATTAACGTGATTAACCAATGATTTAACTTGCAAGCTAGGACCACTGATTCACCAAACCTGCTTGCTTGCAGTCTCTGTTCCACCACAGTCCCCGACGCTGGTCTCATGATTCATTTTGTTTCTAAAGATAGATTTGATTTTGTAGCGAGTAACGAAGGTTTCAGGGGAAATGTATCGGAGTAAAAGTATCAGTTTTCTTTGCAAAATGTAGTGAAGTCAAAGTAAAAGTCAACAGAGTAAAGTAAAGTACAGATATCCAAAAAAACGACTTAAGTACAGCAACGAAGTATTTCTACTTCGTTACTGTACACCACTGCCAACACCCCATTAAATTATCTCACAAACGTATTGGTCTGTTTTTCTCAGCTAATGGATCGTTGACATAAAGATGACACTCTTTTTCTTCCTCTCACAATCTTTGCACTTTCATTTCTTTTTGCCTTTTGGCAGCTTTAGCCTTTTTCTTTCAGACGATAAATTACATCTGAGGTCTCTTCCAGCAAAACTCAGAACACTAAAACCACAAAAGAAGCTGAGGTGAATAAAGGACAGGAGGGCCTAATTTCCCCCAAATGGAGCGAGTATGACTTATCAGAGACAGCATCTTCTGGGCCGGCCGTGGGCAAATGAAAGCAAGGTGAGAGATAGAGTCGGGTTTAGATTACCGGCTGATGTCTGCAGCGCCGAGGCCGTACAGTAATCTCTTATGACTGATTGGCTGTAACCAGGAGTGACAACTGAACTGATGCTATCTCGGGCTATTTCTACCGGGGCGGCTTTGAGGCCAGAGACAGGAGGCTCAGGAGGGCGCGATGGAGCAAAGCTGACATGCAGTTACTGCTTTCAGATGTTGTGCTGAGTAACAGGTGACAGAGTGTTTATCTGAGGGGGGGGGGATTTCCTTCTGCGTGAGTCACGGATAGCAAGAACAACACACTCAAAAACGTGACTTTGAAACTGTGCAAAGACATACGAGGCCTCACTGTCACACAAACATACACACACCATGTGTCGTTTCCCCCCCCCAAAAGTGGAAACCTCATTTAGACCATCAGACACTAAAACAAAAACCAAACAAATGAAATTTTCAGTTTGTTGGCAGCCTCTTAAGACAGGGTGACCCGTCCTGCCTATAATGATGGGTGGGAAACCCTGACACACGCACACACACACACACACACACACACACACACACACACACACACTTCTAAGTACGGGACACATGCAAACACCCAATATGTCGATGCCCACATGTTTCGTTACCGCAGCTTTGCGAACGTTATTTTGCAGAAGTGCTTTATTGGAAAATTTGCAGGAAAATTGTACATTGGTCAAATTAACCGCTTAAACTCTTAGTGGCAACAACATCCACCACTCTGGATTTACGAGCTTGATCGTTAAACTGCTTCTCAGAGCGCTGCTTTGGCATGACTAAAATAACAATAAAAGCATATTAACTTTCCAAATTCTATTGTCACAAATATGCAAATGACTTGTTTTGCTTCTAGCTATAATTGTATCATATTACCCCCAACGATGCCATTTCACCCCAGGGATTAATGACACCTCTACTTCTAGTGTCTATTTACCTATCTATTCATAGGGAAAGCAGCTGGAAAGAAGACCCAGGATGATCCATGGGGAGCCCGCAGCTCGCAGAGTTGATTAACTGGTGGCACAGAGGCAGCTTGGATAAAGAGGTGGAAGGATGGAGGGAAGCAGAAAGGAGGAGAAGCAGCGTTGTGGAAGCCTGGCTTAAGGGTATTTCCATGGTAGGATTGCCCAGGAATCTGATGCGGTTGCCAGACGCGGGGAAACCCTCATCAAAAACAAGGGAGCACACCCATCAACACCAGTCCAGAGGCCGCACATGGCCCCAGCCGGATTGAGAGTTCAAACAGAACCAGAGCAGCTGCTGACCCACACTAGTCAAGCTTGGTTGTTTATCAGGTCATTTCTTTGTCTTTGCTGCTAGAAAACCAATTGTCCAATTGATCGGAGTTAATTGCTTCACAGAGGCAGAAGTACACTGATTGGTCGGGTTGAACTTTAAAGGGCGGAGCTGGAGAACTACAGTTACCGTGACCGAGTCAAGCAGGGTCGGACTTGGAGCCTTTCGGAAAAAAAGAGGAGAGAAAAGTTTATTCTTGACCTCAGAAAAAAAGTGTTTTTACCGTGAATCTTCACTTCCACATATTAGCTTTTTCCATAGCTTTCCTCAGCAGATGGATTTTCCATTATTATTATAGGATTTCAATTGTTATTATTAGAAGAATTCAATTACTATTCCATGATTCATTTTTCTAGGGCTTTACCGCATAGTTTGAAGCTTTGAGCGTTGACATTTTAATTCTTAATCAATATTTAAATGTGTTGCAGATAAAGTTCAGGTTACAGTAATGTTATCAGTATTTGGAGAATCAGATTCCATCGGTGGCTGCGTAGGATTGTTTCCGACTCGTGTGATACAAACATTTCCAATAACTCCAGAAAGTTGTCCAAAGTCCAAAGTCCAAAAATCAATATGTATTGGAAAAAAGAGACGTAATCATTACCAAAATTCACAGAATGTTTTTATCTAACAAAAATAATTCTGCTAAATTTTAATCAAAGAAAATTGTTAAAATCATTAAATCTGCTGTTGATGTTATTTGCTAAAATAATTATTAGGAATTAAAATAAAATTTAAAATTATTAGGAAATGAATCATTGCTTTTCTCACAAAATATCTGCTTTGATTAAAATAAAAAAAGTAGATCATTTTTAGTACTCGGCTTAGAAAGATAATACTTTACACATTTATAGCAATCCCATAGGGATGGACGGAGGATCTGAATGTCCCCGAAAGGGAAACTAACAGGGAAATACAGTTTATATCTGTTCTGACTCTTCTGATTAGATTTTCTAATGATACAATGGGTTGCTAGTGATCCAGCCTACAAATATGAATAAATAGAGAAGTCACATTTTTGTTGTTTTTTTAAACATTTTAACAGGAGCTCCGTCTGTGCTACTTGCGCTCTACAAAGTGTGTCTCTTCGTCCGTTAACTGAAGTTTATTCCAATCTGTGACTTTATTGGGGGGGGCAGCTTTGAATTCTTCCTTTCACAGGTAGAACAATGACAAAGGCTTCCCTCATATTTCTTGTTTTGTTTGTATTTGTGAATGAGTCACCGGGCCGATAGGATCACACGTGTTTACATCACTCAGCCTCGGCTCAAACCGAACCTCACGTTGCTTTGCTGAAGCTAATCAAGGAAATTGCTGTTTGTAAACCTCCTCGTATCAACATCTGGGAGCAGTTCCCTCTCCCTCCAAACCAAAAAACGGCTTAAAGTAAGAAAAAGAGAAACAAATACTGAGGCATGGCGCACACACACACACACACACACACACACACACACACACACACACACAC